GATGGAAGATAACTGACCTACGAGCTACTAAAGCATGTTCGTCTTCAGCAGAATCGACTAATTGACGCATACGTTCAACCTGTTTTTCCTTATAATAACTAAAATTAGCAGATGTAAGTTCACAACAGCAATAATAGTAAATTACCCACCGTAATCCAAAAAAACTGTAAGTTCTTGCATAACATGAGCTGAAAACCAGGTTCAGAAATTGTCAGACTGGAAAAATTTAGTAACAAAAAATTTATTTCAGAACAGAACCTTATTGTCATGGCTAATTCATCTGTTAGGGTGAGCTGTTCCTTTTTCAGTTTATCAATCTCGGCGACTAATTCCTTTTCTGGTTCCGAAACGCTAAACTTAAAATAGGATTCAGAGAGTACTTGTTTCAGAAAGAAAAAGAAGTTAAAAGTCACCTGCAATCATTTGAACTGTTCGAGCCCTGTTGGTTATGAAAGAACAAGTACCTTTCTTGCATACGGATAGTAGCTATGATGTCCCGTAAACCAGCCTAAATCAAAAGATCAATTTTTTTCAAACAAATTATTGTCACCGCTGACAAACTCGAAGAAAGGCCCTGAACTGTATGGAAAGTGACCTGCATATTTGTTATAGATGTCTTCACTTCATCAACAGTTTTTAACTGGTTCTCAAACCGTAAGCGTTGTCTTCTACCTTCCAGCTCCTTTTTCCGCGGGTCGATGAACAATACGAGGTGATTTATTATGTTCATAGCCATTTCGTACTGCGCGGGATTTGTGCTCACCTGTAATCAGATCTTACTATTTGAAGGATTTTTTTGAATTAACCTTTACAGACTCTATATGAGCAAAAAAATCGTTTAAATCGCAAAGAACAAAGAACCTCTCAAACTCATGTGAGTAAACTGTCGCTAACCTCAAGCATGTTGTGTTTTAAAGTAAAGCAATCTACCGGTTCCCTTTGTCCCCACAATTTTTCAGTATCATCCACCTCGTCTGGCTAAACAAGCACCACACAGTTCACAGTGTTCAAAAGTCATAGCAAAAAAGAATGCTTTTAATTATATTGCAAGCCACTACCGGTAAAGGCATGTTTTCTGTGTCCAAATCAAGCGTGTCAGAGAAATAACAAAAGTATATCTGACAACTGCATCGGGAAACTACGCGTTGTAACTGCGACTTCACTTCGTACAGTAAATTTGTCGGTTGGTCTAAAAAAAAACACAGTGGTGAAGCATACAACAATAGACTATTTGCAGAAAAATCTCTTTTTTTTACTCAACTTTTTCAAACAAAAGCGGAGAAAAAAGATAGAACAGAAAGAAAATGTGGAAGCAAAAAATCTTCCTCAGTAAGTGAGAATAATGAAGCAGTGCTCAGTGTCAAGCTAAAGCGTACAAAAACAATGTTTAATACATCAGCCCTTAAACGACATAATTTCCATCACAATAACTTGTAATTATAAAGAAAATACCTGCAACGACACCGCCAACAGCCTCTCCGGTGTTAATAAAATTGTCCACTCTGTCACTTATATTCGGATCACTGCAAGCCTTTTCTTCAATGACTTCCTTAGGCAACCAACGGAAACTTTTTTCTTTTCTTTGCGTCGCAGGAGAATTGCAGGCGCTGTGGCTCGTTAATACCAAAGGAGCAAAATACTGGAACTTGATATTTTACTCGGAAATCACGAATAAATGCAGTCGTTAGAGATCATAAAAAAATTAAGCATTTCAAACAAATCTCATCACATAAACCTACTTGCATGCCAGAAATGACAGCAGACCAAGACGCTTTAGAAAGCAATTGAGACTTTTTCCAAACAGGCATATGAATACATTGCGTTACAGAGGCTCTCGTGGCCGTTAGAAGAATAAAACCATCGCTTTCTTTTCCACGGAGGACTACTTGACTATTCATCAGGTCAACTAAAATTGAAAGAATTACTTTGTCACTAGCACAAAATTTCCTTGCAGAGACCCTGTATTCTGTAAAAAAAAAATTAACAAGTGGAAAACCAACGGCAAAAAGAAATTTAATTTTAAAAAAAGTTTAGAAAGTTTTAAAGTTTCTGAAAAAAAGCAAACTTTGCCAATTCCTTAAAAACAAGTCGTTAGCACGGCACAGTGCAATTCCATGTAGCATGTCAGACGGCAAATCCGTAGCCTAAAATACCAATCAAAGAAAAAAAAATTCCTTCAAGAAAAATTAAAAATGAAAACAATAAAAGCAACTTGTAAGCATCAAGATAAAGCTGTAGTTTCGTCAAACCTCTTCACTGTGCGCAACTAGTTTGGTACCAGCCTCATCAATCAGTTTCTGTAACATATCATTTTCCTCAGCAATGCGGCCATCAGATCCGAATCGCGACCTATAATTGCGCAAGTTTTACCAAATGTTTTCTGTGAAATGTAACAAAGAACAAAGAAAAATATGTACCTTCCGGGACTTCTCTCACTGTCTACATGCACGCGCGCGGAATTAGATTTCAAACCGGGGTTTGAAGTAGACCTACCGACAGACGATGGGTTGCCAATATCGACAACCTAAAATTCTTGACACAGTCTTACAGAAAATGCGTGCTTTTTTAAGTGAGAATTGTTAGTTTAAAAGCAGCAGTATAATGAAAACGTTTACGTTAAAAGCTTTCAAGGCGTCGTTGCTCAATATTTTTCTCAATACATGTGCTCTTTGGACACCATCTGCAATAGCCAAACAAGTGTCACGATTTTCAGGGGTCCATGAAGCTTGTAGATCGTGAATAGCCAGTCTGTGAACTGCATTATTTTCATTCGCTTCCGCGCTTACTTGTGAGAAGTAAACTCGTTGCTCCTAAAAATAATACTCCTAGAACACTGTAAAAAAAGTACCAAACGATTTTCAGATTCCACTAATGCAAAGGTTCTCAACAGAAACACTACCACCAGGATTTACAAGAAAACCGTTAGCCTTTGATATAATCCATATTTGTGATTACACCCACCTGTGTAGACTCGCGAGTGTAAGTTAAGCGATGAAGACCCAGGAAAAACGAATCTGAATCGTCTCTTGCATCAAATGTATCGCTCGCAGGCTTGGAGCTGTCACCAAAAAGGTGTAACTGAACGTTTGAGAGGTTAGCCGAAACATAAGAAA